CCCACCCCACCCCCCTTCCCGCTCCCCACTGCCCAAACACATAAACAGACGGATACAACAACACTAAAGTACTCACTCAGCCTCGTCGTTCTCGAAGAAGATCTCGCCACTGACAACATCGTAATCCTTGCCCGCCTTGGCTGTGCCGTCCACCGCGTGGTAGGGAACCCTCACACACCCACGGGCGCCCGAGGCTCGGCACACCTTGATCAGAACCTCCCCGATATTCTCGGTAATGGTCATCTCGCGGTCTTCGAAGTGGAAAATTCCGGGGTGGTCATCGTCCAGAATCATCACCGTGGCCATGAAGGGGGTGACCAGCTGCACGTTGTCGTCGCCTGGCTCGAACATTCCCGAAGCGTCCCCGAGCCGCGCGTTGGTCAGCTGAGCGTAGAAATGTTCGTCCTCCTCGAATACGTCATCGTCCAGGATGGTCACCTCGAACTGCTTGTGTCTCTCGTGGGGCTGGAACACGAGCGTGCCCTGGGTGCCGATGTAGTCGGAGCCCGCGTTGGCGGTGCCGTCCTCTGTGCTGTAGTCCACGTAGCAGGTCTTGCTCATGTCGCCGCCCTCTCTCGTCACAGTCACGCTGAACGTGCCCACGTTCTCCATCACCGTGTAGTGACCCGGGTCGAAGAACACTTGCGTGATGGGACTCTCTTCCTCCTCGTCCAGCTTCACGTCCTGGAGACTCGCGCGGCGCTCGATCTTCGCCTTCTTGATGACCTTCCCGCCGCCAGTCAGCTTCCTGGTCGCCTGGATCCGGTAAAAAGCGCGGGATTTGGGCCCGCGGTTCACGGCCTCGTACTCGGCCATCTCTTCCAGAGTCTTCATGTCCATGTTGGGGTTCTTCTTCCTCAACTCACGTAAGATTTCGATAAAGTCGCGTCGATGCTGCTCAAACTCCCTCACGTCGACGTTTGTGGAGTCCACGCCTTTATAGACGACCTCCTCCGTGAGCTGAGTGGCCTTGCCGTCCGCCATCTCCGTCTCGTGGAGGCCCTCGGATTGGATGACCACGCCCTTCCGCTTGCTGGCGTGGTACTTCTTGGACAGGAACTTGTAGACCAGGATCTTCCGGTCCGCTATGTACGCCGTGACCACCGTCCCGGGGAAGAAGAGGAACGTTAGCACCGCCTCCCAGATCTTGACCACGCCCCTCGAGCTGAGCGCGATGATGAAGTAGAGCCAGAGGTAGGCGAACACGCTCCACGTGGCGGTGATGAAGAACACGCGCAGATGTTTGATGCGCCTCACCTCGTCGCTCGGGACGCAGTAGACGCAGATGGCGATGATGATGAACAGGTTGAAGGCGGCGCTGCCTACGATGGTGCTGGGGCCCAGATCGCCGGCCTCGAAGTCATTGCCCCAGATCTCGATGATGGACAGGAGGATCTCCGGCGCAGAGGAACCCAGAGCCATGAGGGTCAAGTTGGAGACCGTCTCGTTCCAGATCCGCACGTTGACCACAGTGGTCACTCCGTCCGGCTTTTTCACGACCACTTCTTTTTCTTTGGACGTGATGACCTCAATCGAGGCCATGAACCTGTCAGCTACGATGGACACGCCCAGGAACATGTAGAACATGGACGCCATGTACACAGTGGCTCGCGCGGCCTTGTCGCCGTTACTGAGATTTCCCTGTGGTTTCCACATGGGCAAGAAAAGGCCTTCCTTGCAGGCGCTGGCGGAGCGGTTGCACGTTTTGTTATCAGGGTCCGACAGCGTGTCGTTGAGGTCGCCGTAACCCGACGCAGCAGCGTCTGCAAAGGAGATGAGGTCGACGATTTGGAGCACGAGCAGCACCGGAAGCGATACCAGCGCCATTTTGGTGCATGCGCGAATGGCCGAGGCGATGGCCGCCAGGGGGAGGAGTTGTGCCAGCGGCACCATGGTGATGGGCGGGGCCTGGGGGGCCGCGGGTCACTTCCTGTTGCACAGAGGGGCGGGGTTTGAGGCTACGTCTGTGGGCTTTTCGTCAAGGCTGACTTCCTCCTAGTAAGTGTGTCATTTTTCCCTGAACGTCATCTGGAAAGAACGAAAAGGTGCAAAAGGTCAATAAAGCAAGTTATGTGTTTATTTAGTTTGTTTGAGCATAGGGAAGTATATCCATAAAAATAAAGGCATTTAAGTGCCCGGGAAATGTAAGAGAGACCGACAGAAACAGCAGAGGGAGAGTAAAGAAGTAGGACCCACCAGTGGCGCTCTCTAACCACCAGCAAGTTATGTATGTGTGTGTATGTGTGTGATGTGTGTGTATGTGTGTGTGTGTGTGTGTGTGTGTGTGTGTGTGTGTGTGTGTGTGTGTGTGTGTGTGTCTAACTGCTACTTCCCGGAAAAAAGTAAGTCCAACATAGTGCGAGTGGTTGGAAGGTACCACTAAAAAGTCCGACTTCTTTTTGTCTCTCTGCCTATTGGCCTTTCTTTTTCATGGTACTAAACATTTCTCATTGTCCCGATGGGCTTCTTAGTGTTTAAACTAAACTTAGTCGACACTATAGACTATAGATGTCGGAACAAAAATATAGAAATGAAGAAAAATCCTTTTCGTTGCCGTTTCCCTTTTCTTTACACAACTCTGGCAATGCTATCGTATTCTGCGAGACATTTCTCTTCTTCATTTGTGTTGTCATTTAATTTTTGTTAGAGAAAGCTCTGGGTCCGCTGGCAGGAAACCAGGAAGAGAGGAGACGACATGTTCCTGAAGAGAAAGAGATAGGGATACGGTTTTTTTTTGGCCAACTCTAGAACGTTAAAACAGAAGCAAAGACCCCAGCCAAATGAATCAGATGGCAACAACTTCCAAAGGGGCTTTCAAAAACAGATAGAATTAAGCCCAGAGCTCAGAGCAACATGTTTTTCACCCACAAATCAAAGTGTCGCAGAGCTCACTCACAAATCGATAGACGTCATCAGAGCCAAAGTTCATCTGGAGTAGAAGACAAAGAGGAGGAAGCTTGTAAGAGGAAGATAGAGTGAGACATGCATACACATACATGCACGCGTACACAAACACACACACACATACACACACACACACACACACA